CCTTATACCCCCCCCATAACCCTGCCGACCCCTCCCCCATCCCCAAAAGTTTCTAGGGGATTTGGGCTGTACTCAGCAAGCGCAGTACAGCCCTGAACTCAAATCCAAAGAAAAATCAGTGGACGGCCCTTTGCTGACTGGCCAGCAGACCGCCATCCGGTCAGCCGACCCGTCAGCGCCCTACTGGTAGCTGCAAAACAGTCGACGACCGGCGTTGGTAGTCAGCGGGTATGCAACCCTGGTTGCGACTAGAAAGACTGACCATTGAGAGAAGGTGACCGATACCTTGCACCCTAGCTTGTGCGATTCTGTTTTTTTTTCTGCGATAAAGGAAGAAGCCCACAAAAAGTTGAAAGTTGAGAAACACTTCTTGACAGATGCCATACAACCAAACGACGACTCACTTGCCAGTAACAAAGATTATCGCCTCCAAAGCCTGTGCAACTGAGCACCAAATTTGTGTTCAGAATCTCTTCCTCTCTCTTAATCGACAATCGTCTCCAATGCCCTGTAACTAAGTGATGGCTCACTCATCAGCCATCACAAAGTGCGTCCCCTCCAAAACCTGTGCATCCAAACACCAACTTTGTGCCCTCCTCTCCTCCTCTCTCTTCACGAGCAATCATCTCCGAAAGAAGCTTTCGGCCTTGTGAATGACCCAACTTCACTGGCAAAGGATGCTGCACATACATAATCCACCAAGATACACAGTTCCATACAGATGATGATTATTTCAGTACAGACCCAAGACCACAGGCATGTGATGAGAATGAAACGGTAATGAAAGATGAGTTCACAAAATTCCCTGTATTATGTACACAACAGTACGTCATAGAACTAAGAGCGAGCTCAGACTTCCAGTGTTGGGTGATAACTTAGCATGAGCTTCAGACGAATGTGAACCAGGTTCAGGTCGATTTATGTCAAAACACGGCATACAGGTGGGCCTGACACTCTGACCAAACTTGGCCGGCACAAGTTTCAACGAAAATTAGTAATTACAATTGACGATTCACCAAGAAATTGCAGACCACAATTCCATACAGGTTCCAGACAGCAGGTGAAGCATACAGAAAGGGAAAAGTATTCTCCAGGGTGTTGATTGCTGCCAGGAGGTTCAATGGTGTTGATTTGGTAGTCATCCACTGCCAGGGGTAACACTACCGCCGTGCCAATAGAACGCTTGGTGCCGTGGCCTTATCTGACCAAAAACCTCCCTTCTATACACTCGTTATCATGATACATTTCTGGTCAAGATGACAAGTAGGATACTGAAACTTTACTAATGGTGCTGTGCTTTGCTGTATTAAATTCCTCTTCATTGCCAGATCGAGACCACCACTACACTCGGGAGTTGAGAGGGAAAGGTTGGAGGGATGCGCAAAGCAAGTTACCTTAAACTTTGTGAACCTGCAATCTGTGTCCAAAATTCCGGATGTCTCATAGTCCTCTTCAACCCCATCCACTAAATAAGGTGTTGATTGCTTTCTCCTCATCCCCTTCGCTCTATCAAGCTTCATGTATGTCCGCCAACTCTCTCGATAGGTCTGCCCAAGGACGCCATGTACGGTGGGAGAAACGGCGATAAAATTGATCTTCAAATTGATCTGTTCCAGGAACACATGAAAGGACCCAATGACAGGGAAGGAATTGTAAAAGGCTGCTTGCTCTTCAGAGTCTTAAGAACCAATACACCAACACAGCCACACGTCTTGCCAAGTGGCCATGCACGATAACTTTTCCCTCGTTCTTGATAACCTGAGCAAGGATGGTTATGAAACGTAAGATAAGAGACAAAAAACTCGGAAGTTCGAGCTGGAAATTTCAATCTTCAAAATGCAAAGAGCGGGAGCTCCCTGGTCTCATGTGTTTGTTGTGGTGTCATGGTCTCATCTAATCTGAAAACCTTTTCTCCTGTCTTTTCTGAACACCTTATGGCCCTTTTCCCACTGCCCAGTTCATAGTATACCCAGCTCAACTTTGTGTTGACTTTACCTATTTGGGAGGATTTGAGTCCTCGGCATACCTGCATGTGGCCCCAACAGCAAGTATGTGCCCCCCCTAAGTGAAGGTGGGCCTCACAACCTCAATGAGGCCTGAAATCTTCAATTTTGCGAAGCCTGTGTGGGCCACAGACGGTTGCCATGTGTCAGTTGGTTGCATTCGCCCTGTTCGTGAGAATCAGAAACATTTGTGAAACTTCTAGGCTCTTCTGGGTGCACCGTCGATGCAAGGAACACCTCACGCTTGCATGGGTGGTTGGGCGCGTCTAACTGCTGCGGGCCCAGGCCAGTATCTGAAGTGGGCCTGGTTGAAGATCACATGGCCCGAAGTAAAGCTGCGGGGCACATGGTCCACCCAGTCTGGAAGCTTCCAAGCCAGGCAGCGTTCCATACAGGAAAGTGCCTGGCTGCGTGCTGACACTGCTGGGCATTCGGGCACATGGAGGTGCAAGCGGCAGCGCTGCTGGAGCGAATGGTCTGCAATTACTTGCTGGTTTTGGTGGCCTGTAGCCCATCGAGTTGAGGCTGTACCATAGGTAGGTCAGATTCGAAATTTGGTTCGGCTGAGGGCTAACTGCGACAGCTGACTGTGAGGAAATTCGTGAGGGACATATCTGCAAATTCGGGAAAATTATAGGCCCGCACTAACTGAATTCCCTACAGCTACCCTAACTGTGCATAGCAGGCCCGGGCTACCCCTAGGACAGACAGGCCCTAAAGGCCTATGCTGATAGGCGGTCCTATAGCCTATAGCTGGGTAGGGAGAGGCCCTAGAGGCCGAAACTGAAACGGTACCGGTTAGTTCTACCGGTCCGGTCTAGGTCGTGTCTAGGCTAGGGTAGAGTATGAATAGGTTTAGGGAAACAAATCAGGGGCTTTTTGGCAGTTGGTACCGGGTCCAGCACTGCTGCGCAACGCATGAACTGGAGTGGTGACAGCTTCAGCGTTGAGGAAGACAGACATAGCCAGACCCTCGAAGCATCGGCCATAACTGGGACCTGCGCTGTTCTTTGACAGCACGCGGGGCTGTTCAGAGGTCCGGGCTATCTGAAGTCTGCTGGAGGCAAGAGAAGTTGGTGGCCCGCTGAACCCTCCTCAGGAGTAGGGTGTCAGGGTGTTTGGCGCTGCAGCCATAGCTGCAGCTTCCATCCTCAGAGATCATCTTTAGCTGCAGCTTCCATCCTCAGAGATCATCTTTGTCAGGAGAGGTGGCGCTGCTACGGATTTCCACTCGGGAGGTCTTCCGGCACTTCATCTTCGTCAGTAGCTGTGGTGCTGGTCTTCTTCTCCATCCTCTGAGAGGCGCTTGGCCTCAGAGGCCTGTTTCTGGGTGGCGCTTCCCTCTGGAGGCAGTATCTGGGTGGCGTTGGTTGTTTCAGGGGCTCAGGGGTAGTGATAGCGGTTACTTGGGGTTGGGGGTGAAGCACTGCTCATTTCTGAGCAGCACACCATGTTACCGGGTTTATTCTGACAAATCGAGACTCTGAGTTTAATAAACAGTGTTGATACTGTGTTGGGACTATCTTTGCTTCATTGTTTCCTGGATGTGATCTACTCGGCTTTCCTTTGTGACTGGTGGTGAGGATTTTGTGGAGCGATTTGCACTTTCATTGTTGACTGTCATATCGCATGGTCAAGTCTTCCACTGTGTTTATCTCCCCTTGTGTGGTGTGATACTCCCATCCTCTCCCCTCCCTTCTGTGTATGTATGGGCATACCTGGAAGTCTATGTGAGCGAGTGTTGGTCTTCTGACAACAAACAACCAGGTTCATAACAGTTGGTATCGGGGCGATTGGATCCAGACAGTGGAGTAGTTGATGAGTTGGAGCAACCATCATCATCTGGCGAGATACTGAAGTTGAACTTCATGGCGATTTGCCATCTTCAGAGTTGGCGACAGTAAGGGTGGTGGTGGTGAGTGTGTGGCGAGAAGTATTGGACAGAGGGTGATACACTCTGCTTAGGGTTGTACAGGAGTGAGTGGTGATTGATGCTCAGAGGGCTGGAGGCTATTTATAGCCTGGCGGCTCATCTAGGAAATGGCGACTGGCAAGGAATTGACCCCAGGGTGTTGCGATTTTGGAATTGGGTCAGGATCCCCAATTTCCAAGCAGCGCAGTACATGTTGGAGCAGCACTGCACTGAATGTCTCAGTTATTGGCATCTAGGAGTCAGATTTATTGAATCTGTCAGTTGAGGGTGAAGTACTATAGGAAGATCTGCAGGATCACCAAGTTTCATAGGATTCTGTACGTGGGAAAATTGGGTATAGTCAGGAGAAGAAACTGACAAGATGGGTCTCGGGAGACAGTCATAGCCAGGGTTTCACTCATCCCCTTCAGAGATACCCCTAAAGTAGGTGTGTTCCTTACTCAACTCTGTGTTGCGATTCTAGGGCTATTTTTAGATTAGCGAAATATGGTATGTCAGAGAGTAAACAGTTAAAAATCGAAATTTAGACTGCATGATAGCCATAGCCAACTTCCCCTACCTATCTAGTCTCAGTCAGGTGACATCAATTGGGTAAGTACTGCAGAGAAAACCCAATTCCTGTTACTTTCATTTTTGTCTTCTGATTATTTGTTGATTTTATTTATCTGCTTTGTGGGAATTCAGAATGCTTGACACAAAGAAGGGAGAGGCTTTCGAGGTGAAGCCTCAACTTCCCATTGAGCCTTTAGAGGCTGAACTGCCTGCTGAGGAGGAAAAACTTCGGAAACAAGCACAGGCAGTTGAGACTCCGAAGGCCGAGCTGAAGAGAAAAAGGGAAGCAACTCAGAAGGAAGCCAGGCGAAAACTTATTGTGGCAGACAGAGAAAAAATCAGGGTGAGTGGAACCTCCAGTCAATACAATAAGGACATGGTTGAATTCATCCTCTTGCACGATGATATTCATGGGTCCTATTTTACTAACTGGGACGAGAGAATTACCAGTTTGGAAAGCAGTCGCTCAACTTTTTCTAAAAAGTTGGATGGCATTTCTTCCAAATTGGATCAGATCTTCACTCATTTGCAGATTCCAATCACCCTGACTATTCCTCCATCTCCCGAGGCCTCCCAAGTGGGACCCCAGCAACCCCCACGATCCAGACCTCCATCCCCTGTCTCTACACCCAAGTCAACAGTCACCTCACAGCCCTCAATTCCACTTGATATGTAGTGGCCCAAGCTGACTGCACAACGAACCTACCTGAGTGGGTTCAAATGTGATGAGGATGTGAAGGTGAGTGCCATCCTTGCTCACCTGGAGAGGACTGCACAGAAATGGTGCACCTCTACCTCCAGCAAGCAAGGGATGGAGATGTCTGACTGGACGCAAAGGTTGGGGGTGGCTGGTTTTCTGCAGGCACTGCAAGACCAGTTTGCAGACAAGGAGCAAGCTAGAAAAGCAGCCGATAAAATTTTGCGCTTGGGCCAGAAAAAAATTGATGGCTCCTTATCCAAACTGTACTCCACCTTTGATAGTCTTACATCGACTCCTGGGTTGGAGATGAGTGAGCAGGATCTGCTCATTCATTTCCTTAGGGCAGCGCCTGAGCAATACCGGATGGCTTTATTCTCTTAGGGCCACAAGGATTGGTGGCCCTTTGGCAGAGCAACCCTAGATCTGGAGTCCAAACTCCATGTTCAGGAAGCACCTTCTGAAGGAAGGAAGGGCCCCTCCTCAAAGGGGCGCAGAAGGAGGAAGGGTGCTCTGTTTGCTGCAGCCTCTAGTTCAGATGATGATGCATCGTCCCAAGGTGAGACCCCTCCATCTGTGACTGCTTCCTCATCTGCTGCATATCCTGCTGTTCTTGCCCTGGCTGATGCTTTGATGGGTCTGACTAAGGGCAAAGCCCCAGCCCAGAAAGCATCAACCATCAGTAAGGGGAAAGGAAAGGGATGTGCCTCTTCCCCTACAACCCAGAGAGTTCTAGTGCCACGTGACGTCCGATGGCCAACTGACCCCCTTGATCCTTCCACCTTCCCCTGGCATGCACTCAGGATCCAGGAGAGAGTTTGGAGGAAGAGGAAGGACAAGGGAGTCTGCCTGAGATGCGAGGGGGACCATTTCCTCAAGGACTATCCCAGTATGCCTCGCAGGTTTGCAGGCGGCTCTAGTTCAAAAAACTAGAGTGACAAGAGGTGAAAGCAACAGCTCCCTCCACCAGTGAAGATTCTGCTTCTGACGAGGCTGAATCTACATCATCTCGCGCTGATTGTTTTTGTGGAGTTGCAGCGTCAGGGTCCTTCATCTACAAGGACAGTGAGCTGGATGAGACGTGGGAGGAGGATGAATCTCGGAGCCTTGCCGATCTCTTCCTATCTTTGCAAGAAAGAAAGAAGCATTTTTCAGATCTCATCTTGCTTCGACCCTCCATCCTGGGAGCCAAGTTCAAAGAGCTCTTGGACTGTGGGGCTACTCGCAACTTCATGTCTCCCAAGACATTCAGTAGGCTGCACTTGGACCGGAGACTGGTAAAGTTGCGACAACCTATTGAGGTTCACATTGGTGACTCATCCACAATCAGGATTACCACTGTTGTCAAGGGCCTACCTGTAGTCTTTGACAAACACCGAGAAATCAGGCACCGCCTGAATTTCTATGTGTTCCCTAACGTCC